ATGATGATTGGTTGTTACCTAAAATCATTGATTTGTAGTTGTTGTTGATTGAAATCCATTAGATGATGGTTTATGAAGTTGGGGTTTCTCTTAAAGCTGTTATGAGTTGAATATGTTGATTCTTGACATGTGATGAATGCATGTTGTTTCTGTTGATAGAAATGAGTTTTTCATGGTGTTTATATGTTGTATATTACAATACATGTTGAATTTTTGTTGAGTTTCAGATAGATTAGGCAATCTAGTTTTTGCATAAGTGCAAAAAATGATATCACATCAGGTGCACCTTCATGACATTGAGCATAACTTGAAGTTAGGGATTCTTAGCCTCATCACTTTGGATGTAGGTTGGTGGTGCTAGGTGTAAGGAGAAAGAATCATCTCTGACTTGGTCATATTGGGTGTCAAATTAAATGATATTGAATGCGAGGAGAGAGAATTGTCTCTATCTTGACGTTGGGCGCCAATGGAGTAGCATTGGACGTGAATCAAGTAGAAACCCTCCACCTGATTTGGGTTGCAAAATTTTAAGTGATGTCTTAAGTTGTTTATGATTGAAAGATGAGATTAAGTAGTATAATGAAGATATTATGATGATAACTCATTGTGTTTCAAGTTGATAGACTGTATAATGATGTTTATGTAGGTAAGTTGTGAGCTGATATATAATTAAGTTACGAAGTTGTATGATGCTATAGTTAATTAAATTGCCAAGCTGTTAGGCATGTGTTATAGACACACATCTTCGTTATGATACATAAAAACTAGAAGAGAGTAAGAAGATGTTTTAGGAATTAAAATATCTCATTGTATGGATATAAGTTGTGGTGCTCTGAGAGCCTAATTAAGAATCCTTTAGTAAGTAAGTTGTTTTCTGAATGGATCATTGTTTTAAGTTGTTTCCTCTAGGTTTTTATGTGAAATCTGTATGTGGAAAAGATTAAGGTGTATAAGTTGACCAACCCAGTAAAATACAAGGTTAAGGACTTAGTCCCTAACTCAGTATTAGAAGGATGTAGTATTTGAAAGGTAGTCGATAGACAAATCTCATAGAAGACTTAATGTTGTAAGTTAATGTGATGGTAAACTCATATCCAAACTGTTCTATCATGATAATAGTACTAGACTTTCTAGTTTAAGTGACGAAACCTGAAAAATCAAATTTAAGTTGTAAAACTGGCATTCATTGAGACCTAAGGTTGTTTATACTTGAACTAGTTACAATATGTCAGACAATGTGGTTTGGTAGGATCCAAGCACTTAAATTACTCACCCCTATCGTAGGAGATCTCCTTAGTTGATATGCGTGACAATACATTAGTTGTTTATGGTTATTTATGTTAAACATGTTGATTGGGCTGAAGTTAATAAGTTACATTGTGTAACAAGTAGTATGAGATACTTGATGATAAGTTGAAGTTACGTGGTGGATGAATGTTGTTATTTAAGTTATTATTTAATGTTGTTTTTTTTATGTTGATTATTTTCACAAGATTACTCTTTCCTTTCCTTATAGTTGGAACTGCAATAATCATATTTGATATAAGAGTAAAACAGGATTAGTAAGTGTTCTTGTGTATTCTGATGGAGGATTATGCTGATGATGGCTTAATTTTGGAGATGCTACTCCTATGTACCTTTTTTATTTTATTTTATATTTTTATAGATGTTTGACTGCGGAGTAGGTTTATTTTGCACACAATGATGTAATTGATATATTTGTATATATGTATAGGGTATATATGTAATTCCATAAGGAGATTTATGTTTTTCGGTCGATGCCTAAGAAATGTTTAAATTATATATACCTCTCATGCATGGATGACGAGGCAATTATTGTATGATAATCCTAGATTAGTAGATTATTATCTAACCTTTTCATTGAGTAGTGATTGAACTACACTAAGTGTAATGACATGCTCGATTGTTACAAATTGCACTTTTGGTTCTTCTATTTTTATCAATATGTAATTTTGGTTCTCATATTTTGAAATAGAGACATTTAGTCCTTTAGTTTTAAAAATATGAAATGTCAATTTTATGTTCATTGATTGTTAAATTTTAATGTTTTTATGTGATAATTTTAGTGACGTAATATTTAATGAGGTGAAATATAAAAATAAATGAGAACATATATATATATATATATTAAATTTTTTATCTTTAAATGTTGTCACTAAATATTACTTCATTTAAATATGAATAAATGTTAAAATTTAATAATTAATAAATGTTAATTTAATGAAAAAATTAAAATTTTATATTTTTAAAATTAAATAGACTAAATATCTTTATTTTAAAATAAAAAAAATTAAAATTACATATAAATAAAAATAGAAGGATTTAAAGTATAATTTAATTTTTAATTTAATAAATTTTACTCATGATTACATATTTTTTAATATTTTTAATTATTAAAATGAATATATTAAAAAAAGAAGGAAAATTCTCACCTACTAGTATTTTAGAAAGAACATATCATAAGTTGTATACTTATTATATATCACTAACATTTATAATAAATAAATATTATATTTAATTAGTATAAATAAATCTTTTAAATATAAATTTGTATTTTAAATTTATGATAAATACATATATTATTTTTAATAATTTTTTTTTCTATATTTGTCAAAAAAAAATGTTATTTTAATTATTAATAATTTATTTTAAAATATTAAAATTTAATTCATAAAAAAATATGATGAATAAAAAAAATGAATTCGATAGAAAAATAAAAAAATCTCACAAAAAGCTCAGTCAAAAAATAATTCTTAAAATTATTCTCATATAAGATAATTATATATATAAATTCACTTATTTTTAAATATTAAAATATAATTTTATAATAAATAAAATAAAATGAAACAAAAATTATCTAAAACCTCTTCATTTAAGAAAAATACTTTCTCGCTAGGTTGTGATTTGTATTTAATTAATACATATGGTTGATTAAAAATATTAATTAAATAACGAAACCGAAATGCAACCAAGATTTAAATTTATTAATTTATGCAGGTATTTATTGTCTGGCGGACATCATTAAATGATTAATTAATGAGAGATTTTTGGGTTTGATGTTATCACCACATCATGTCTTTCCATTGAAGACAAAGTTTGTGCTGTGCTGTGCATGCCAATTCAGGAGTGAGTCAATGCTGAGAACCAATTCCCATTTGCAAATTTGCAATAACAGTTAGTCTGATAACGACGTCGTCTAAGTGAACCGTGTGATCCTCGTTCCTCTGCCCTCTGATCCCTCCTATCAATTTTCTATTTTTCTTTACCCAAATTAATGCTATCACCAAATACCCTCTCATTTTGTCACCAAATAGGGATCAATAATCACTACAATACAGGATCTATATTCTATACCAAAATTCTTTGCTTCAATCTCAACCCTATAATCTATTAGAAAGAGAAGTTTCTAAAAAATACTTTTACATAATATAAATACTCTCATTTATATCTATATAATGATTTTTAATATAAGAATAAGTTTTGGGTGCCAAAGAAAAATATAAGAATAAATTTTAAACTATAAGAACAAAATTACTTAAAAAATGAATACAAAGAATTAATCATTTGTTTGTCCATATTCCTTTTGATTTTACTGAAATTATTATTCATATTATTTAGTTTTAAAAATGATATATATGCACCTTGTAATAGAGAGAATGAGATAAAATAATAAAGAAAATAATATGTGATATGGTATAAAAATTAAAGAAAAAAGAAAAGAAAAGAAAAAATCAGAGACTCAATTTGGAATGATTAAAAAGTGAAAGGATAGACCGGTAAAAATTCTCTTCATTTTCTTTTTTCTCTATTTCTTTCATTATTAAAATTTTAAAAGTATAAGTGTTACACTTCCTAAAGTATTTCTTCTTCTTCTTATTTTTACTTTCCTATTAAACAACCTATAAACTTAATCACTTTTCATTTATTTTTTTTCTTAAACTAAACATTGCAAAAAGAGTTCCAATTAAATATATGCAAATTCTACAGTACCTATATATATTTCAAATGGTACAGCCTACAGGTACATTCTTTTAGTATTTCATAATAAATAATAAATTATAAACACATGCACTTTTACTATTTACTTTATTTATGGGTAACATGAAATCGACATCATGTCTCACTGTTTAAAATCTTTTTATTTTTTTAATTGTTGAATGATTTGTTGGATTACTTTTTGTGTTCATTCTATTTACTCTCAATCTTTTTTCATGTAAAATATTGAATTGAAAAATAAAATATTTTTTAATGAAATTAATAATAATAATAATTAATAATTAATAATCAACTGTTGCTATTATAATTAATTTAAAATTTTATTTTACAAAAAAATTAATGTTATCACTCTTGATTTTCTAATTAGTAATTATGTTTATTTTATCTTACAAAATACACTCTAGTTTTTTAGAAGGGTCAAATCTTAAAATATTAAAAATTTTATAATCAATTTTTTTTAAAAATTTCGACACTTATAATATAATATGATTTTAATGAATTAATATATATATTTTTATTAATTTAGGGAAAAAAAAAAGGTATCATGATCTTTTAACATTTAAGGGATTAGCAATGAGTCAATCACCTTAAATATGTACTTATCCAAATATGATTAATTCATAATCTCAAGGAAGGTTAGTTTGGTCATTGTAGAATCACACGTGCGATAAACGCGTGCGCGCATGCAGAATGGACGATGCAAAATCACCGCACAGGCAGCATTGCTGAAACCCCTCCCCCCATTCGCTAACTCTACTTCCTTGAGGGTGACTCCTCAGTGCCACGTCATCCTCCAGTCCCTTATCTCCACGTCATTCCCCCTCACACGTGTCATTAATCGCGTGGCACCATCCAACGGCTCCCATTCCCGGTTCTAGACCCTTCCACCCTCCATGCACAGACCAAGTGGTCAAGTTCTAACCAGGGTTAGTTTCTTAACCGGCCTCTCCGCATCGGGTTAAAGCAAGAACGCCTCGAAGCGTGAGTGAGCGAGAGCGAGAAATACAAAGCCACAAAAAAAAAAAAAAACATTAAAAAGAAAGAGAGAGGGTTCAGTTTCAGGTTCAAGTTCAAGCCTTTGCGCGTTGTTGCTTGGACGAGCGAAGAAAAAACCTCTGAGTCAACTCGGACGAGTTGCCTCATCACACGCTTCACTCCTTGGACTCGGTTCTGGTCGTCTTCGTTAACCCTCATTCTCTTCAACCGAATCACCGTTCGCAGGGTTTTATTCTCTTTCCTTTCGATTCGTGTTCAGATCTCGCATTGATTTGAGCTGAATCGTCGCTTCCAATTTCACTCCCTTGCTTAGGGGTATTTCCATTTGTTCCCTTCAAATTCTTCATTCGGGTTTGTTTATTATTAAATTTGAATCTGGGAATTTTTCTCATGCGCACGGGGTTCTAGGTATGATTTGATTGAGCCTTTGAATTGATATGCAGGTTTTGGTTCGGAGGTAGTGAAGTTATGGTTTGGCGGTTGTAATGAATTAATGATTGTTTGTGGTGCGAGACATTGGTGCAAGGCTTTCAGTGTAGTTGGCAACTACTTGGGAGGGAAGAGGAACAATCTTTCTTCCGCTGTTGTTGTCTTGTGCTGTGGTTGTTCTGTTGATGTCTCGGAAGCTCGACAGCCCTGTGCAGACTCAGATGGCTGTGGCGGTGATAAGGAGCAGTCCCCTCGGGAGAGAGTATCATGGGAGACAACCTGCGGGGAGGAGGCGTGTGTTTGTGCAAACGGAGAAAGGGTGTGTGTTGGGTATGGAATTGGATCGTGGTGACAATGCTCACACTGTTAAGAGGAGGTTGCAGATAGCGCTCAATGTCCCTATTGAAGAGAGTTCACTCACTTTTGGGGACATAGTTTTGAAGAATGACCTCAGTGCTGTTAGGAACGATTCCCCACTTTTGCTCACTAGGAATCTCATGCATAGAAGCTCCTCCACGCCGTGTCTTTCGCCCACGGGGAGGGACTTTCAGCAGAGGGATAAGAGTGGCCCTATTGAGATTTTGGGGCAGTCGAATCGCCTTGATAGGATAAAGCACATGATCAAGGACATTGTCAAGGCGATTAAGATGGGGATTGATCCAATTACGGTGCATAGTGGGCTTGGAGGTGCTTACTATTTCAGGAACAGTAAGGGGGATAGTGTTGCGATTGTGAAGCCAACTGATGAGGAGCCTTTTGCTCCGAATAACCCAAAAGGCTTTGTTGGCAAGGCCCTTGGGCAACCTGGGCTTAAGCGATCGGTTCGGGTCGGCGAGACCGGGTTTAGGGAGGTTGCGGCGTATCTTCTTGACTATGATCATTTTGCCAACGTGCCCCCGACGGCGTTGGTGAAGATTACACACTCTGTGTTCAATGTGAATGATGATGTCAATGGGAACAATCTGTGGAGGAAGAGGCTGGTTAGCAAGATTGCATCTTTCCAGCAGTTTATTCCTCATGATTTTGATGCCAGTGATCATGGGACATCGAGCTTCCCGGTTGCTTCTGTGCATCGAATTGGGATTCTAGACATTAGGATTCTTAACACAGATAGGCATGCTGGGAACTTGTTGGTTAGAAAATTTGATGGCATTGGGGGTTTTGGTCAGGTGGAGTTGATTCCCATTGATCATGGGCTCTGCCTGCCTGAGACTTTGGAGGATCCTTATTTTGAGTGGATTCATTGGCCACAGGCTTCAATTCCGTTTTCGGAGGATGAGCTTGCCTACATTGAAGGTCTCGACCCCTATCGCGATTGCGAGATGCTGAGAATGGAGCTGCCAATGATCCGAGAGGCTTGTCTCAGAGTCTTGGTGTTGTGCACCATTTTCCTCAAGGAGGCTGCGGCTTTCGGCCTTTGTCTTGCTGAAATTGGTGAGATGATGACTAGGGAGTTTCGCAGCTGTGAGGAGGAGCCAAGTGAGCTTGAGGTTGTTTGTTTGGAGGCGAGGAAGATGGTGGCGGAGAGGGAGGAACCGTCGCCTAGGTTTGAGATGAGAGATGATGAGTTTCAGTTTGATATTGATTATGATGATATTGGATCAGATTTTTCACCAAAGGTGGCAATAGATGACCCTCTAATCAGAACATCTTTCCAGCCTGTGTTTGGGAACGGGCATGCTCGCAGCCCGCTTTCCAAGTTGGATGAATGCATTGAGGAGGGAGAGGAGGAAAGTGAGGGAGAATCTCCTCAGGGATTTGTTACTTCTGCTGAAGAAAAAATCCCAACTGTTCCAGAACTTTCAGTGTCACTGAGAAATACCATGTTGGAAGGGAAAAACCAGAATCACCAGAAATATTCTGGAGGGAAGGTGGATGGTGGCCATTTTGCAAATTCATCATCTGGTCATAAGAGTGCCAATGAGCAGCTTCCTGCTAGCATAAGCTTTGTGCATGTGGCAGATATGACTGAGGATGAATGGACATTGTTTCTGGAGAAGTTTCAAGAGCTGCTGCATCCGGCATTTGCCAAGAGGAAATCTGTAACCTTAGGTCAGAGGCAGAGACAGAGACTTGGTACTTCGTGCCAGTTTTGAAGTTGAGCAATACTTTGGTATGATAGAGGACTATAGAATGAAGAAGAATAAGGCTTTGTAGGTTTCAGGGAATGAATGAAGGGTTTTTAAGATAGTCCTGGTTTATGAGATTTGGATGAGTGCTTTGGTTGGGAGAGAGCGTAGGAAAACCTGCTGTAAATATGCTTGGCATCAGCTAAGTGGTGAGCCGATTAGTTGTTTGTATTTTGATTTTATGATTTCATTGCTTCTTTCCCCCTTCTTCTCCTTGTAGGATAAAAATGTGAAATGAAATTTGTGTATATAATGAAATGGCATGTGCCCTTTTCTTTTCCCCCCGATAATTTGATTAATGCCAATGTTTGAATTGCAATCGCGATTTCTTAATGTTCTTTGATACTATGGAAAATTGAGAATAGGTGTGTATGATGTGATCACAATTGTGGTTGCATTTTGGTAACGAATGTTTTTAAAACCTTGATGATGCTGCTGAAATCGCAGTAGTGGACTGTTTTTTAAAACCTTTTCAGTCCTACATATATGCTTGTTTTTCTGGAAACCCCAAGGGTCTCTGGCTGCAATGGCAGTTCAAGTTATTGCATTACTATCTGCACTGAGTTACTTTGAAAGATTGTATAATATGACTCATGGTGTGAGGTGAGAAAGGCATCTACATGGTTGAGTTTCCCAAAATCAAGCTAGCTTCTTGCAAGAATTTTTTTTGGTAGTGTTCTTGCAAGATTGTTTGGTCCAATTGTTTTTGATTTTGATAAAATTAAATTTAGAAGTATGGACGCTGAAAGAATAATTTGACAAGGACTGACCTTACAAAATGAGTTTAGAAGAATTAGTTTCTTTTGGTAAAGTGAAGTATTTAGTAAAGCTCATTTACAATTAGTTTTATTTATTTCGAAAGCCAATTTTTAATTTTCTAATTAATTTAAGTCGCTATAAGATATTTTTCTTCACTCTAAAATTAACTAAAAAAGTTAATTTACTGTGGAAACACTAGTTTTATTTGAAGCAAAGTTTGTGTAAAAAGTTATTCAGTTATCCGTTTTCTATAAATTAGATTTCTCTTGTAATATTAATGTGCTTTTGGACAAGTTTGCAAAAATCTTGTATGGAATAATTTTATTTGCCTATTCTACATGTACTGTACTCTGGTTCAATACCCAATAATTGATTCAAAAATAGCATGTTTTATCTTTATGATTAACTATTTGATGATAGAGGTTAAGAAATCATGATATCTAGATAACTTGTGTCTAAAAATTCAAAAAGTTAGATGCATTTAGTCACTTCCTTATCTTTGAGCATGTTGATGACACTTGTTTTCTTTGATAAAGACATCTTGGGTGGTGGGCGTAGAGGAATCAAATTAATCAAAACCGTGGATCTTTTTGTTGCCTTGTGCCATGCACCATGCTGCTTCCAAGTCCTGCTAAACCGCCCACACTCGTTATTCACCTGTGGTAAGTTTATTTATTACAACTTTTCTTTCCATGCAAATATAAGTAATAAATGAATAATAATTATGTTAACTAAAAATATTAATTAATATTATTTAAAAAAGTATTTTTTTATAAAAAAATTGTCTTTCTTTAAAAGCTGATATTAATAATAAAAGTAATTATTAAATATATAATCTTAATTAAATAGAGTTTTTTTTTTTTTTTGAAAAGCACATGTCATATATTAATATAAGTAAAGGAATAGGTTATACAAAAGTTCTACACAAAGTAGAACAGAGATCTCTCAAAAGAAAAATAGCCTAGACCCAAAAAGATATACAAAAGCGACCCACTAACTAACCCCTCAAAATACAAAGCCATGGGTCAATACACCAGGCTGCAAAAGTAAAACCTGGTCTACAACCATTCCTATACATCCACCAATGCCATGAGATAATTTTAATTTGATAAGGAAAATCAAAGTGCGACACTGTTTTGTTTCTAAAAACAATTTCATTCCTGTTGGTCCAAAGAACCCAAATTGTTGCATGCCAAAAAATATCCCTCCATTTTCTTTTTACTTTACCAAGAAACATGCTCCTGAGGAGGAAGAACAAATGACCTAGAGAGGACGGAAGTTCCAAGCGGATCCCTGTCCAAGTAAAAACATTATGCCAGACATTTCTGGATTATTTTCCTTTCATGGCGCATGCTTCAAAACAGAATCCCCACGATAGATCAATTGATTGTTCGAGGAATGGTTTTTTCTGACCCACACCTATCTTGTCCTTTTTGTTCTACTACTCTGGAATCATCACAACACTTATTTTTGGAATGTGATTTTTCCAGAAATGTCTGGCATAATGTTTTTACTTGGACATGGATCCGCTTGGAACTTCCGTCCTCTCTAGGTCATTTGTTCTTTCTCCTCAGGAGCATGTTTCTTAATTAAATAGAGTATTTAGAAGATGTTAGTATTAAATAGAATAAATTTAATTAAAATTTATTTATATTGTAAGACTAATAATATGAATTTTTATGCTTATATTTAGAATTGGAGAGAGTATTTCATAAAATTAAAATTAAAGTAAATTCTGGTATCATATAAAAATGATAAAACGGACTAGCCTAACACAATTATGATAATTAGTTTAAGCGTGTGTTTGATATTTATTTTCTAATGCAACTTTTTCTTCTCTCTAAAAAATATTTATCACTTCAAGTTAAACGTGAAAATTCACGTCAAGACTCGATACAAACGTACACTGAACGACTGTTTGCAAGTTAAAATGTGTTGCAAGTTTCTCAATTATTTTAAGATTAAAATTAGTCTTAAAACAACAATTTTAATTTTTATATCTTTATAATTAGAAATTGTCCTTTACTTAGTATTTAAGCTTTATGAAAAAAACTGACAAAATTCATTAATTATAAAATATATTGGATTCTTAAATTATAAAAAATTAATATAACTTTGATAAAAAAATTGAGAGAATTAAAGCATGTTTTTTTTGGTAATTAATGTTTTCCTTATCTACGCATGGATGGGAGATCTTAATTAACAAAGAGTCGTCACACTGTTCAAGTCGGCTTCTTTTTTTTCTTTTCAGAAATGGCTGTCATCAATCTTCTAAATTATTATTATTATTATTATTATTATTATTATTATTATTATTATTATTATTATTATTAT